CTGCTCTACAGAGTGAGTTCTAGGATAGCCAGAGCTACACAGAAAAATCCTTCTTCTAGGAAATGTGTAAAGTCTAAAATAATATATAGTGGTGTGTCAATAAATGCTCTTGTGGCCAGTAATGTACCGGAAAATCCTCAAAATAAACAAAGAGAATATCAATCTTTAATTGCACCTTTCTCAAGCATACTACATTACCATGATTTACACAAGTATAGCTACTTGCTCATATAAAAAGCACACACACACACACACACACACACACACACACACACATATGTATATATATATATATATATATTATAATAGCCATTTCAAAAATGTTTGTTGGGGCTGGAGGGATGTCTCAGTGGTTATGTACCTAGAAGTGGGTCCAGGCACAGTTTCCAGCTCCACATGGCAGCTCACAGCCATCTATAACTCTAGTTCCAGGAGGTTCAAAGCCCTCTTCTGACTTCCTCAGGCACCAGGCATGCATTTGGTGCACATAGATACATACTGTCAAAACACTCATACACATAAAGTAAATCTTTTTAAAAGACATTTTAAGTTGGCAAGTCATGTATTCCATTACAAAGTAGATTTAAAGTAAATTAAAAGCACATTACTTTTTAAGTAAGAAAAAACTCAAATTAGAGCATTATAGTTAACAATATACCAAAAAAGTCCCACAAAATTTTACATGCCATTTCTTATGTATTACAAAACATTTAAGTATCTGCCATGAAGGCTTACAAAAATTTAAGCCTGAAAGTCAAAGTACACCACACTTTTAATGAAGCCCAGGAAAGATGTTGGAATGATGTTTATATTTGTTATAATTTATTTTTATTTTCTGTATATGAGAATTTTGCCTGCATGTATGTCGATGCATACCACATGTGTGCCTGGCACTTAGGGAGGCAAAGGAGGTGCCACATGCCTGGACCTGGAGTTCTTATCCCCAAACTGGGTGCTGGGAATTTTGAACCTTGGTCCTCCAAAAGAGCAGCAAGTGCTGTTAACCCCCGAGTCATCACTCCAGTGCCCCAAAATCACAAGTGTGTGTGTTTGTTTCTGCACCATCAGGGATGGAACCTAGAACCTCACACAGGTGAGGCAAATGCTCTTCTGCTGAGCTAAAATCTCAAATCTTATCTTTCTTACCATCAAGTCCAGTTACTTTATTACTATATACATATAATGGATGTTTGACTAAAGACAGGTAGCCTCATAAAAATTGTAATTGGATATGAGGCATAATCAGTTGCAGCATAAATCCTAAAGTCCACTGGGATCATCATTTTATTAAAAGAAAAGGCCATAAAACTGTGCTCACAACACCACTACCCCATCCATGCCAGCTCTCCTGGAGTTTTCTGTCCAAGGAGTCGCCTCTTCAGATGAACCTTAAATGTCTTTGCAAATTCCTATACTATTTATATTCTCTTTACATATTGCATGATAGAGAGATCCATACTGTTTTTGAAATGTCAATCAGAAATCAGTGACATTTCTCCATTTATTCTTCTTTTTACCATGAAGAGATTTCCCAAGAATTTCTACAGTCTATTAAAATATTTTAGTTTTCCTTCCTTTGTGCCTTTGGGCATTAGGGTGTTGTTAGATCCTCCTTATTTGGCAGGCTTATCAGTTATAAAGTGCTGTCTTTATTCATTTTTTTCCATCACAGTAGATAAAATTTACATCTACTATTACATACATTCAAACACCACTAACAAAGTTCAGAATTATTTAGCTTGAACTCAACTGTTTTCCAAAAAGGTTGGTTGACTCTCAATTTAAAGACCCACCTGTTGTCACATTACTGTTTAACAAAGTTTTAATAACCCAGAGAAGTATTCATTGAACAGTACAGCAACAGAAGAACCAATTCAGTGAAGTGTCTTTTACATCGCACTAAGTAAATGACAATATTTCTTGGAATCATAACTAGTTCTTTTCAAACTTTGAAAGGACAAGTCATTAATACTAGAAAAAAAAAAGATGTTAAAATGCTGTGCTTGGCAACCTGGAGGATATGTTTAGCCTTTAGATGGTCCCCATTTATAGTACAGCATCAGTAGAATGCTTGGCATCTCTATAAGGGACACACACACTTTACCATTCTCTGCTGTGACCTGCCAATTCACTTCAGAGTCAGATGAACAGTCTTGTTGGGGGAAGTTTTACATAAACATTGGCAGGGAAATGACCATCGAATCATTGTGGGCTTTAAGAACATAAACTTCCTCAAGTCAGTGGTGAGTGTGAAATGCCTGTTATTTCTCTCCTCTGTGCTACCCCTAGATTTTTAGGTAATCCGCATTAACAATCAGAGACTGCATGTCAGGTCCTTCCAAATGTCACGTTCTTTTTAACTTAACCTTTCTCCTGCCCACAGTGTATTTCTCATAATTAATATGAGATTACCTCATTAACATGTGCCCTTTTCCATCATAGAAGAGAACAGGAGAGCAGTAATTTGTGGGCCTGGCACTCAGAAGAAAAATACTCATGTCCATTCATTCTCTCCCTCCCCATCTCCCTGTCACACTCCTCCTAAGAGTGTGTGTGCCTCCCATCCCCTTGTCCTTCTCGCCTCCTCCCCATCTCTCAAAGAAAGAAAAAATACGCAACTAACAATAATGCACCATCCTGGGTGGCATCCTGGGACAAAAAGCCAATCATTAGAACCCTTGTGTGGTACTCACACATCCCAGCACTTGGGAGATGGGAACAGGAAGATTGCTTCCAGTCCAAGGCCAACCAAGCCTACAGAATGAGACTCTTGTCTTCAAAAAAAATTAGGTAAAGTCTAAGAAAATATTAATTAAATGGTAACAGTGCACCAATATTAGTTTATAAATTATGACATGCTAATATAAGAAGCTAATGGACTAGAAAACCTAGAACATTTTAAACTGACATAGTAAATTACTGTAGTTGACTTCAGCCCATTTTGTAAGAAGAACTAGTATAGAAAGTGATCATTTCTCCCCTTGCTGAAATCCTCCACTGAAAGTAACCATGCAAAGGTTGGCGAGATATAGGCATTTGGCAAAGGCTGGGGACCAGCTCCAGTCCTGCAGCCTGATTTTGTGCAGTAGAATGCATTCCCAATGCCCCAGAGAAGGGAGGTAGGCTTGGACATCCAAGCATGGTTACCCAGACATTAGGGATGAGAGCACTGCTGGTCATGATCCGTATCTCCTGATCTTGTGTTCCTGTCTGTGAAGTTGGGTCTCAGCAGGTTTTTCTCAGATTTTCTCAGAATATTGTCTTAAAAGTGCATTTGTAAATGTAGCCACAGAATTTAGTAGGGATGAAATGTTGGCATTAAAGTGACTTATATATACCAAATACTCTGTTATAACAAGATTAATTGTAATTTTGACACTTTTGAATTCTTGTGCAAAAATAATGATAACTTTGAAAGTAACACTAGTGCCATGTGGGAGTCACCTGCACAATAGGAAGACAAAACCACATTCTTTGACATCCCATGTGGAATCTGAACCTAAAATCACACTAAAATGCCACATTGTTGTTTAATTTGTGATAAAATATTTTTATTCACACAATGATGTATGTATTTTCAGAAGAAGACTTTAGGTCCATGTGCTTTTAGATTATACACTTACATGATAATTGGCTGTGGTGTGTTATTTAGTGCAGTATGTAGTATTGTTATGTGTTATTTAATTTAGGTCAATAAAATCTTGAATGCCCATTTATGTTGGAGGCTTTTAGGACATTTGGGTTCTGCCAAGTGTTCACATTATGTTTAGAGTTAATCATAGGAACATTCCTCATCTAGTAATTATTTTTTAGTTCCTTTGGAGCCAGTCATTATCTAGTATAAGAAATTATTTTCTAGCTGTAGTGCATCAGTGCTGAGTTTTGATTACAGGAATATTAAAAAGGTTTGTTATAATCATCTTGAATGTTAGTCCCATAATGACTGTGATGGAAGGGAAGCTGGGAAAGGTTGAACAGTTGTTCTGAATTCTGACTACTCAGTCAGATCACCTACAGGTTTTTACTTTCCCCACATGCAAGGTGTACCCCCAAACTAATTAACCCAACCTCCATGGGCAGCTCCTTAAAGCTCCCAGGTGTTTCTAATGTGCAACTGGAGTTGAGGACTGCTGCCTTGGGAAGCAAGACACCTTCATCGTGGCCCATCACAGAACACTCTTGCTGGTTGTGACCATGTGACTTGAGCTGGGGAGCACTAGGAAGAACATAATTTCAAAAAGAAAGACACTGGCCCGCATTTGAACAAACAGAGCACCCTGTGGCTTACCCTGACTCTCCATCCAGCAGCCACGGGGAGAGGTTGTCCTGACTTTGAAGCCACCTCGACTTTTGGGTGACGATGGCTTTGCCTTGTTCTACTTGTCACCTTACTTCCAGCATAATAAATAAGACTGTTAAAGTAAGACAGTTATTGGAAGCAGCTGACAGTTAAACAGCACCTGCTAAGTATCAGAGCCCACACTAATATTGGTCTTACTCTCAGCCAGGAAAAAATGAATAAAACACCAGATTTCTTGGCTTTGCTGGCATGAGGCCCCAAGTTCAATCCCAGAACCTTCATTGTAGACAAAAAAACAGAGTTCTGTTTTGTTAGAACACAAATCTTACTAACTAGTTTGTCTTTTCCATCATTTGTTCATTTTGTTAATAAAAGAACTCAAAACTCAATCAAAAATAAGGCTTAAAACTGCCACAAAAATACAAATGATCTCTTGTACCCAAAGGAAAATAGAAAAAGTAAAAACCCTTGTCTATTGCCTCAGCACAAGCTTAGCACAACCATTTGTCTGGCCCTTTATCCTGTGGATCAGGGGGTGGGTAGGTGTGTGTGTGTGTGTGTGTGTGTGTGTGTGTGTGTGTGTGTGTGTGTACACACTCATGGAGGTCCGTGTGTCTTATCCCCTCCTAGCTGGGATGTTTTCCCATTTCTAGGCTTTAGCTGAGACACTGACCCCTCTGCTCTCTGAATCTTTCAGCAGGACATTGTAGGCTTGTTGGAAGGAGCATCAGGTTTCCCTTGAGAATACAAGACCTCTCAGATGTCCCAGAACTGAGACATTGACACTTGTGCTACATTTCCTGGAATGGCCAAAGGAAGTCAACCAGTCAGTCTACATTCAGGGGATGGAAAAGCAAATTTCATCTCTTGATAAAAGGTACTGAAATATCACACTGTGAAAGGCAGAACAAAGCAAACAGTGAGCAGCTGTGGTTCTTTTTAACATCACCCACAGGATAGAAAAACTTAATTCCATCTTCAAATATTATGAGAGATTCCCAAGAAGTGGTTACATTTGAGCAGATTTCAAAAACAGAAAATTCATTTCAGGTACTAAGAAGAGCAAGTGTAAGACCACCAAGTTCAATTTCTTTAGACACAGAAACTGAGCATTCCTCCAATACAGGAAATACATCTAACCTGACACAGAAGACACTTCATACGGGGTTCTGAGTCTGGACAGTGATGTGACCTGAGCACCCAGGCCCTTATGTCAGATGTGATAACCTGATAGTCTTTACCATGTCCCAGCTGGTGGAGCACAGACAAGTGAACAGTGCCTATATTTAGTACAACAAGGACAACAATGTGTCTATTAGCGTTTGCTGTGTAACAAGCCACCCCACAACAGTTTGCAGTTAGCTCCTGGTTCTAGGCCCTTCCAGTTTGTGCTGGATTACCTGGCAATTCTGATCTCACCTGGACTTATACAAGCCTACCATCAACCTATAGCCAGTTATGTCTCTCTGAGTCCCGAGATTTACTGGAGTTGGGAAAACAGGGCAACTGGATCCAAGTCTATGAATACTCAGTCTGGGCTTCTAAGAGAGAAAGCAGGGATCCAAGAGTAAACACTTGGGGCATGCACAGCTTGCTGGAAGGTTCAGAATAGACATAGTCTTGCTCCCTGCTCACTGCTTTGCATAGTAGAACTGATCAAAAAGCAAGCCCAGAGTAGAGAAACAGCTGTTTCTAACCAGAAGGAGCTACAAAGTTACATTACATGCAGTGGGGACACAGGGAGGGAAAGACTTGTGACCATCTGTGATTTCTCCCACCTACCTCACAAACCCAAGAAGAAGTTGAATGGAGTTTCTCCCCACCACCATCACCACATGTGGTTCCTAGTGCCAAAGCACCAGGCAAATTGTGCCTGTTCAATACCTGGAAACTGCTAACTTTTTCTCACATGTGTTAAAAACCAGATCTTTATCCAAATTCTTACCTGCTTTCTTTTTAAAAGTATCAGAGCCCCCATTAAACAGTACTCACAAAAGTCAAGTGTCATACAACCTTCCCCGTCTAGCATGATAATAAGATGTATGGAAGGTTGCCTCTGAGTGCATGTGTAGCTCAGTTCAGGGTCAGGGACTGTCACCCACTTGATGGGGCCTGCCAGAGCTTGATGGCAGTGTTCGTAACACACAAAGGGTCAACACAAGGAAAGAACCAGAAACAATGAAATATGGTATTTCATCTCCCAAGCTATTAAAGGTCTTTCATGATGAGTAAGAACCCATTTCAAAACCTGGGCCCTTAATAAACCTTTATTGATTTATTTCACTACTGTATTTTCATCAAACCTCTTAAGGCCCGCATAGTTCCAGATTGATCCATAAACTGTACACAAATCCTATGCGTCACATTGAGCTGAGGGAGGTTATTTGTCTGGCAGCTAGAATACCTAATTAGTGACATGGGTGAAAAAGTCTGCCTGTTTTGAAATGAATAAAACATCAAAGGCTATTATGAAATGCATAGAGAGCCAGAGATGTCTCTCAGTGGGTAGAGGGTTTTCTGTGAGGACCTGAGTTTGGATTCCCCTGCACCAGATAAAAAAACATTGGGTGTAGCCACGTGTGCATCTGTGACCTCAGTACTAGAGGGTGGCTTGGAGACAGCTCACTGGGGTTTGCTGGCCTTCTGCACAGTCAAAATAGCAAGCTCCAAGGTCAGTGAGAAACCCTGCCTGGAGAGAATGAGGCAGAGAGATAGAGAAGTCCTGATGTTATCTTATGGCCTTTTTAGGGTTAGGTACATCTACACGCATGTGTACAAACACACCACTCTACACACAACACATGAGCACATACTGTAGAATTATGGCAAATTCATTAAGGGGTCTGCCTTTTATAATGATGGAAATTTTAAGCCCCTAAAACAGATGTCATGTGGTGGGACCTCTGCCACTAACTCTAGTCTGGTTCACCCAAACCACCACTTCCAGAAGTGCATAGACTACCTGGAGAGCCTGTGTCTTCCTCTTGTCGGCATCTCAGTCAAACACTGAGCATTTAGTCCCTTCTGTGATTTTAGAAAGTCCTTGAGACAGAGTGATTAAGAGATTCAGCTTGTACCTGTCCAGGCCACAGGGGGGTGGGGGTGAGGCTGAAGATGTAGGTCCCATCCCAGTTCCTTCTCACCAATGATCCCTAGTGACTATTCTATTACATTGACGTTAGTAGACTGTCAGCAACCACACAAATATTGAATCCCAGAAACAGGGTTTCAGAAAGAAAAGGGACTTTGTTAGATGCTCAAAGCAATCCAGCACAGGGGTGTGCTGAGGATTCTGCATCTGCTTATTTTAAAAGCCACTGGCTGCATCTATCTCTACTGCCCTTTCTCAGTGGAGCACAGGGACACACAGGTCAGTCTTCTGGAAGGCTTCGGTGCCTTGTGTTAGAGTTCATTCTGAACATCCAGTGTTTGTTTTTAAAATAATGTTTTATGGACCATGTCGTGGAGCACCTAACACAGTACTGCTTTGCTCTGCAGGCCTGACAGGGATTTCTAGTTTGTAAAATTCATGCTGGCAAGGAAAGTGCTTTTGTTGATGCTGGTAGGCCATCTGGGCTTCATATTCTAAACTTGGTGAGTCTATTTATATATCTTTAAGGGGAATTCCATATTTTTGACATGTGTTTAAAAAACTAGATGTGGCATATAGAAGGATGAGCCTGAATTTTACCCTGGTAAACCCTGCAAATATGTTAAATTAAACCACAATGATCATAAATAATTTTTAGATGCAAGTATCTGGGATTAGATCTCTGGGATCCCTAAATGGCATAAAGTTTTCAGTGCTAACACTTTGTATTAAGTGCATATGTTGAAATCTGTTTGAAAGCCGTCCGTGAGTGTAGTGAGTGTTTTATTCCCTAAGGTTCAGGTAACGGGTAAAATATAAATGCTCATTCTCACTCACACAGCTGTGAGATTTACATTATCTCATAGTAAGTAATTAATCCCTATTCTACTTTGGAAAATTATAGAATTTTGTCACCTTTAGAGCTCTCCCTCCCTCTCTCCCTCCTTCCCACGTTGAGACAGGTTTCAAATAGTCCAGGCTGGCCTCAGATATACTATGTAGCCACACCTGACCATAAATTCATGATCCTCCTATGTCTAACTTTTGAATGCTAGAATTCCAGGCATGTACCACACCCAGAGTAGCACACAACATCTAGTATGGGTGGTGTTAAGTAATAGCTTGCCTCCATCTGTTCCAACTCTGTTACTCCCCAATTATCAAAGCCAAATCTCCATCTTACTTTTTTTCTTTTTTCTCCTCCTCTTCCATACCATGTTTTTTAGTGTTAAAAGGAAAGAATATATATTTAAAAGTGAGAAAAATGGCTAATTATTCACTGGCTGCATCATTGTTGGTGTTGCCTCCTGGCTACTGGGGTTCATGTTGTCTGATCTGTGACCTCCTGGCTTATTGATAAGAGCTTCACTTTGTAGAATCACATGTTTTCTAATCCAAATACATAATGAGGAGGAAGTATAGACTTTAGAGATTGTTCCAGCAGAGGCATAGTGCTGTCCCCTGGGTGTGGGATTCTCTGCCACTTCATCTCTCTGTCATATTGAGCGTTTTTATAAAACGCTCACAGTAGTTTTAAAACAAAACTAATCAATTTAAAATTTTTGGATTACTCAGAAAGGAAAACCTATGAAAATGTTTGATAATGTTGATTGAGTCCACAAAGCTAAGGTCATCTCACTGTCTTGAATTGTTGGGTGAGGGACTCAGAGCAAGTTCTTGGTGTTTGTTAGTGAGTGTGTAAATGTGTGAGTGAGTGAATGCATGAGCGAGTCTGTGAGTGAATGCATGAGTGGGTCTGTGAGTGAGTGAGTGACTGACTGACTGAATGACTGACTGACTGACTGACTGACTGACTGACTGAGTGACTGAGTGAGTAAATGGCTCAGGACACTTGACTGGGTCAAGGTCTCATTTCCATACAAGCATGAGAACCTGAGTTTGGATCCTAGCACCCACATAAAAAGCCATGCATGGCCATGGGTGCTGATAAACACAGCACTGCAAGGAGAGGAGTCAGGAGGATTGCTAAGGTTTGCTGGCCTCCAGCTTTGCTTCAGGAACAGTGGAAGACTCAAGGGAAGAAGGCAGAGAGCCATAGAACAGAGCCACATATGCCTGCTCATGCACACACTGTACACATTACACACAAGCCTTATGCAATGTTAATTTGAAGAAATCCTTTGTGTTCTAAGAGTTCTATAATATTTGAACTTTAAAGTTCAGGGAATGACTACATGTCTCTTACTCAACAATCTTTTGGGGAAATAGTACAAAGGACCCTATCTTTAAGCCTAGCCCTATACTTTCCAACTAATTATGAAAACTGAAACTAAAACCAAACCCAAACCAGAGGATTAACCACATGTGACAGGACATAGATGGCTTCGTGCCACCCGAGAGGAGGCTGCAATGTCTACTGCCTCCTGGCGTGGGCTTGACACCTGATAGGGTGCCATACAGTCTGGTTATGTCACATACATATGTGGGCATAAGAAAACTTGGTGTTGTGAAACAGGGAAACATGGACCCTACTAGCAGTAACCTTTATCATAGATTCCTTCCCCTGCTGTGGTGTAATGTGGACCTGAACTGGGGAAAGCCAGTGTGGGCTGAAGAAGTTCCAGACATACAGGAAGTGGCAGGGGAGTGGCAGGCCATGAGTTAGAAAGATGAGGTAAGGGGGTGTACAAAAGGCAGAGCGTTCAGGAAGTTAGCAGCTGCTTATGGTTTCCTTTGCTTTATCCCTTGAGCAGTGGGAGAACATTAAAGGCCCTAAGCTATGAAGTTGGTATGATCAAGCTCTACGTTTAGAGATATCTGTCTGG